GGCTCAACAACAACTGTCGAGTCATCATCATCACCCACATAATCAAATCCATCTACAAGAAATTTACGAAGACATGATACTATGATATAAAAGAGCTTATGAACATGTTTTAAAAGGTTAATCACAAGAGTGAGTTAATAGTTACCAGTGGTAGATAAAGTGCCAAGGTAATCGTTGTAGAGGTTGAAGGTGTCGTAAACGGGAAGCTTCCTACGAGGTCGGATCAAATATGGTAGAGGAACACCTGCTAAATATAATTCCCGGATCAAAAACTCAGTAACATGAAACAGGAAGAAGAACCAGAATGATAACAATGAGTCGTAACAAAACACCAAAACAGAGACAAGTGAGCTTTTTTACCTTTCCTCTTCCGAGATTCCATGGGGTTGACAGGAACATGATACACTTGTTCGAATGTTGCCATGTCCTGCGAAAAGAATCAAGCTGAATTGTTCAAATTGCAAGAACTTTTAAGAGAGATATGACCTATTAGCATCTTAGAAGCAGAGAGATGAGCGCAAAACTAGCAAACCCTAACAAAAAGTTGGATATTTTACGCTTATCGGACTAATAAGAAGAGATTGTGCGGTTGTGGAAGAACCCTAAACGATCATGATCTTGTTTTAGAATTAAAAGTTATCATCTTTGGATACCCAATCGCCTAAAACAATCGTAAATCAACAACTTCAGATCAAAAACAGAATTCCACAGGAAAAATTCTCCGGAAGAAACTGTAAACCCTAAATTCCGTAATTATACCTCGAAAGAATCACGTAATCAAGTCCCAGAACTAGAGAAAATCAAAGAAGAATAGCAACGAAAGAGAGAATTATCAAGTATCAACGACGAACAGAGAAGTTACCAAAAAACCCATATGATTACCTTCGAAGATTAAGGGATTATTGTTAATCAGCTCTCGAGAAAATTGGATCTTCTGATTCTGACGGAATTTATAGGGAAGAAGAAGAGATTAGAGCGGACGAAACAATGGGATTAAGATTAGCCTTGATGTTAAAATCTTTATAGCAATAATAAATAGGGTTTTCCTTTTTCTATTTTGTTACCATAAACAAGGTTTAATTTAATTAATAATTCCTTTTTATGGCAGTTTTTAATTAATTATGTATTGCAGTTACCGACGTGTCACTAACTATACTCGGAATCCAATGGTTTAGCTTCCTAAAAAATAGATAACCGACCTCAAAAACCGGTTCGGTTTACATTTCTCAGCCGCGCGGAAAATAAAAAACCTCTTCATCCTCCTTTCTCATTGTTAAACTCTCAAATTAGGGTTTTTTTTCTTCCCGCCACCGCGTCTCAGTGTTTTACGTAACCTCGCCGGAAATATTCTCCAGCATCTCCCGTTCCTTCTTCCGGGTACTGCTAAATTTTAAAGCTTTAGTGATTTCTTCGTATCTACTCTTGTCATCTTTTGGTGGAATTGAATCCGAATTCGTCGTGTTTTAAACTTGCTCTGACTTTAGGTCGAAATCTGTCTGATTGATTCGTTTTCTAGCTATGTTGCTTCTCTTTGAAATTGGGTTATAGGGATGATTTGAGTAAGATAATATGAAATTGCTCAATTGAATCTCGAGAGTTTCAAATGAGAACAGTAATCGATCTGTGATTTGCTAGGTATGGATACTTCAAGTCCAGCTGTATTTGTGAATGGGGAGTTGTTGAGACGGTACGTTGGTCAGAAAGTGAGAGCGGTGGTTCAAGTGATCCGGTCAGAGAGTGGATCAGTGATTGGGAAATCGACTGATGATCAGCAGATTGTGGTGAAGGGCTCGCCTCCTTCTTCGCCTCTAACTACTTACCTTGAGGTGATAGGAATCGCTGACAGTGAGAACAGTATTCGAGCTGAAGTTTGGACCAACTTTGGGGATAACTTCGGTATACTCCTCCAGAAAAAAAAGATCATTTCTTTAAGCTTTGGTAGAGTCATTTTGGTTGCCATTATTGATTGTGTTTCTTGATTTGGGATCTTGCTTGTTTGGTTGCAGATGCACAGAACTACAATGAACTATGTAAGCTCGCAAATGGTGAGTTTAGACACTTGTTCATCTAAACTACTGGCGATGCATGCCGAAGCTATTTTCTTGTAGATTCTTCAGGTTGGAGATCAAGCGCCTTGAACTATAAAAGTCTTTTATTGATTTTATGGTCTTAGATTTCTGTATGGTGGAAAGCTCCTATGTTTTATGTTGGATTCAAGAATGACTCTGTTAGTTAATTTGACTGTGAATCCTAATGCTTCTTGCTTAGTGTTTTGGTTATCCTTTGGTTCCATCACATTTGTGCCCTAAGATTTGTAACATTCAAATTTGATTTATAAAACTCTCTCTGTTATTAGATGGTCTCGAACAAAATAAACCATATCTACATTACAACTTTCAAAAATGATAATATACACAATTGTTGAAACACAAAAGTTGTCAACCTACCTAAAGCCCACGGCCCAGCCTATGTTTTAAAACGATATCGTTTAAGATCTGGCCCAGTTCGATTAAACCGGGGTTTTGAGAGATTTAGCCATTATAGGAGAAAATCAAAACCTAAACCGAACAGAAGAGCTTGCGAGTCTTTGAGGAAGAAGAAGAAATCAGTGTAGAGACACAGACACCAGCCTTGGCAAAAGGTGTTTTTTTTTTTTTTTTTTAATTCTGGCTTTTCCGATATCTAGAAAGTTGTTTTGAGGTTTCGATTGCTTTCTCGTCCAAGGCTTTGCTCGCTTTAATCTGATTCTTAATTTTGTTTTTCACGCTCTTGCAATTGAATATCATGTAGGCTATTTCTTGGTTGTTCGCGTGGTTAATCATTGTAGCTGTGTTGGGTTAGTGAGGAAATCGATGAGAATTTTGCTCTGTGTTTATGCAATTTTGGACTTGTGTGTGGCTTCAAAATCAAAACTTATATCCGACTTAACAACAAATTGAAGATTTTTAGTCTCGTTTACATTACGCTTAACACTCATTATACATAGAAACTGTGAAACCGACATCTCTTTATTGACATTCATGTTGATCCTTGACTATTTGGATAATCAGATACTCTGATACTTTTCTAAACTGTGAAACTTCGTTTAGTCTGAGATCTCTCTTTCTTTTGATGTAGATAGTAGAGAAGCAATGACTGAGTTACAGATGGAGGTAGAGACAACCGATCCTTCTCCGCAGGAGCCTCTCCCGAAGCCTCAGTTCATGTACAGATGCAAGAAGTGCAGAAGAATAGTGGCTATTGAGGAAAACATAGTCCCACATGAACCAGGGAAAGGCGAAGAATGCTTTGCTTGGAAAAAGAGAAGCGGAAACCCCGAACATGTCCAATGCTCCTCCATCTTCGTCGAGCCTATGAAATGGATGCAATCAAGTGAGCATCTTCTTCTTTTTCTTTTTAAACTCTAGCTCTGTATCTTAAAAACTGAAAGTTCTTGCTAATGCGCTCTTACCGCTTCTGTTTGGTTATTTGCAAGTTCATGATGGAACTGTTGAAGAGAAGCTTCTTTGTTTGGGGTGTAACGCCAGGTTAGGTTATTTCAACTGGGCTGGTATGCAATGTAGCTGCGGTGCTTGGGTTAATCCCGCTTTCCAGCTCCAGAAAAGCCGAATCGACGAGTGTAAGTCCGACCCAAACCCGAACCCGAATCCGGAATCTGTATGAGAAAGGAAGATACTCTTTGGATAGCTAATGATGGTTATAACAAGATAAAATTAAGCCTTTTTGTATTGAACATCATTATGGAGTGTTTTAGCTATAAATACAACAAGAGTTCATTAACTTAATCTTAATGCATTGTTTAAATTCAAACATAGAGAACATTTTAGCAGCTTAGGTTATGTGTTAGTTTATGTGTCTTTCTAATTTTAGGGGAAGAAGAGAAAAAATAGAGTCAAAAGATTGTCACATTTTAGAAACTAGAGGCTATAATTGAGAGAATTAACAACCTCACTATTGTTTTTTTTCTTTTCTTACAAGAAACTAATTCGAGTTAATTAACTAATAAACGGTTTTCATTTCAATTAGCTAAAAATAACAAATGGTTATTCTTTGTGTATAAAACCGAACTTTGTGGCTCTTGTGAATTAGTTGTCCTCTTCTCTAGCATAATTCTCAGCAAAAGGAAAACGATTTTCAAAGAGGAGAGGTATCAAAAAGACAGAACCTTTTTTAACATTTTCTAAACAAAATGGCAACCAAAGCCATCTTCTTCTTCTTAGTCTCCGCCGTGTGCCTGTCGTCCCTCGCCGGCGTTGAACACGCCGACGCCGATGACTTTGACCGTTTCCAGATTCAGGGATCGGTCTACTGCGACACGTGTCGTGTCCAATTCATCACCCGTCTCAGCAAATTCCTTGAAGGAGCCAAAGTGAAGCTAGAGTGCAGGAGCAGAACCAACCAAACCGTGACGCTGACGAAAGAGGCCGTGACGGACAAGTCAGGAAGCTACAAGATGGAAGTGACCGGTGACCACGAGGAGGAAGTCTGCGAGCTCGTGTTGGTCCAGTCACCGGACAGTGGCTGCAGTGACATCAGCACAGAGGCTTACCTACGTAACGCCGCCAAGATCAGCCTTACGGCGAACGACGGAATCGTCTCTAACGAAGTACGTATCGTTAACCCTCTCGGTTTCATGGTTAAGACGCCGTTGGCCGAATGTCCCGCCGCTTTTAAGGAGCTCGGGATCGTTCCTGACGTCACCTTCTAAGCTTGATGACGACTTCAAAGATCGTTATTTAACTGTCGTCTCTATTGTTTGTTTTCTTATATACAGCAAAAAAAAACTTGTAATTTGATAAAAATACAGAAAATGTCGTAATCATAATAAATTATTTATCTTTTTTCCGAGCACCAGATTAAAATTTCTGTTATTAATAATAAATATTGTTTGTGTTACACGACATTAAGAAATTTGAAAAAATTACAGAGGAATGTACAAAGAATCAATTAGATTCCTTTTCTTTTTATGTTCATCTTTCACCGTCTTCATCTGTTGTAAGCTACAGCCTATTTAACAGTGAAGGTTTTGGCTTTGTTAGTCTCATGAAACTAATGCAAATGACAAAAGGAAGAAAAAAAGGAGAGGCTTTTGCTATCAGTACCCGCCGGATTGATTTTGCGTTTTGTTCAGAACAGCGTTTGCTTCATTACTGGAACTGGATTTTGGTTTGTTTGGTGGCCAATGACGAATGATCTCTGAAACAGATGGTTTATAATCTGGAACTTGTTCTTGTTCTTGCTCTTGTTCTTGATCTTGCTCTAGTCTTGAAGATGTGGATTGATGATCAACAGAGTCGAAACACGGAAGATCAAGAAACGAGCCAGAAAAAGGAACCATATCGCCATGGGTATTTCTCTTTCCACCTTGCTCCAAGCTTGATACAGACTTTCTAGGGCTTTCATCAGATTCCCACAGCTCAGAATCCGACAAACAGTTGTCTGAAACACCACGAGATGACTGACAAAAGATATCGCTGCTGTCGTCGTCGTCATCCGAGTTGCTAGCCTCTGGAACCAACTGAAACGAAGGGAACATATCCGCATTTTCACCGTTGTGCTGAGTTTGGCATGGGATTCTCAGTTTCAGTTTGGAAACTGCAGAGGCATCTGTTGGCTTGAATGATATTTTCATATGTTCAACCGGTGGTGATGAAGTAGGCGAGCCAAAGAGAGATGATTCATAATCCAATCGCTCCTCAAAGCTCGAGACACGATGAGTTTGTTGAGTCATGTCTTCAATAGCTGTTACTCTGGTATCATAGCTTGTAGTAGGTATGGATTCAAATTTGCAAGTTGAAGAAGAGTTTCCACGAAACCCAGCCATGAGTAATCTATGACTTAACCCAAAGACTTTGAATGATGTTGGCGTGCTCTGCAGGTGAGAGTGAGATCCATTAGAATGACTCAACATGTTGCTGCTTTGTTGCTGAGTGGTGGTGGGATCTGAAACAGCTAAAGAAAGTGAGCTCTTCTCTGTAACTTCAACTGGTCTGCCTGATGATTCTGGCCTCTTACTAGCTCCGTTGGTCTCGTTCTGTATATGCTCGCTTACAGAATTAGGCTCAGCAAAAACTGGAGGTTTCAATGGCGCAAGTCCAAGGAGTCCCCCATTGCTCCATATACTTACTGGTTCAACAACTGTACCATTTGACAGAGATTCCTGAGTATCTGGAGAAACCGTCACCGAATCTGGAACTTCTGGTGAGAACTTTTGATCGAAAATAGCTTCTGCAAAAGATAAAAATGCGGCATCGTCCAAAAATACTTTTTGGTCGGGAATACCTTCCGTGAAATCCAGATATGTAGCAGCAGATTCATTTGGGAGATTAGTGTCGTCGGGAACAGTTTCTGCCAAGGACAGATCCGTGACAGCAGGTTCGCCAAGGAAGGTTTTGTTGTGTAGATCAGTTTCTGCTGTGGAAGAGGGAGTTTCTGAGCCTGGGATATTTTCATCAAAAACATCATTGGCCAAGGAAAGATCCGTGGCAACAGATACTTCAGGGAAGGTTTCGTTGTGACCAGATTCTGTAGTGGAGCAGGGAGCTTTTGAGTCTGGGATCTTTTCATCAAGAACGTCTTTGGCCAAGGAAAGATCCATGACAACAGGTTCTGCAGGGATGGTTTCGTTTTGCGGACCAGTTTTGGTTGTGGAACCAGGAGATTCTGAGACTGGGATCTCTGCATCAAAAACATCTTCGGCCAAGTACAAATCCCTGGGAACAGGTTCTTCAAGGAAGGTTTTGTTGTGCGGACTAGTTTCTCTCGTGGAACCAGGAGCTTCTGAGCCTGGGATCTTTTCATCAAAAATAGATTCGGCCAAGGACAGATCTGGGGTAACAGGTACTTCAGGGTTGTGTGGACCAGTAGAGCCAGGAGCTTCTGAGCCTGAGATCTTTTCATCAGGAACAGCTTCTTCAGAAGTTGGACATGTGGCATCAGGTTCATCTAGTGAAATCTTTTCATCAGGTACAGCTTCTGCCAAAGACAGATATATAGGTAAGGGTTCTTCTGGCAAGTTCGTTTCCTCAGAAACAACTTCTGCTGAAGATTGATATGTGACACCAGGTTCTTCTGGAAAACTCATTTCGGTGGGAACAACCAATTCCAAAAACGGATTTGTGCCAACAAGTTCTTCATGTGAGGTTTTCTCAGTCGGAACAGATTCTTCCAATGATGTATATATGGAATCAGGACCTTCTAGTGGCGAGATCTTTTCATCATCAACAGCAACAGAAAGAGATGGATGTATAGCATCATCAGGATCTTCTAGTGGAGAGATATTTTCTTCTGGTAGTTCTTCCAAAGATGAATACACTTCCAAAGGTTCGTCAGACAAGGTTTGTTCGATGGGCGCAGCTTTTCTCAAAGACAGACATGTGGTGACTGGTTCTTTTGGCAAAACCTTTTCATCATGAACAACTTCTGCCAAACACGGATCTATGCCAATAAATTCTTCAAGCGTGATTTGCTCTTGTGGAATAGCTTCTGCCACCAGCAAATCTGTAGAATCAAGAGCTTCTGGTGAGAAACTTTCAGCATTGGCACAAGATGGATATGTGGCATTATCAGATTTTTCTTGTGAGATCTTATCTTTAGGTAATTTTTCCAAAGAACCATACGCTTCTGTAGGTTCCTCCGACAAGACTTCTTCGATAGGCACCGGTTTTGTTAAAGACATGATGGGTTCTTCTGGCAAAACCCTCTTATCAGGAACAGCTTCTGCCAAACATGGATCTATTCCAACAAATTCCTCAGGTAAGACCTGCACTTGTGGAACAGCTCCTGCTACATGCAAATTTGTGGAATCAAGAACATCTGGTGAATGTTCATCACTACCAGCTTCAGAAAGAGATGGATGTGTGGCAGCATCAGCATCTTCATGCAAAATCTTTTCTTGAGGCAATTCTGCCAAAGAAGGATACTTTTCCAAAGGTTTTTCTGGTAAGACTTCTTCAACTGCCGCAGGTTTTGTCAAAGAGAGACATGTGGTGACATCATCTTCTGGCAAGAATCTTTCATCAACAACAGCTTCTTCCAAGCAGGGATTTACAGCAAATTCTTCAAGTGAGTTTTGCTCTTGTGGAATAGCTTCTTCCAAAGACACACTTGTGTAATCAGAATCTTCTAGTGCGATTTTTTCATCAGCAACAGCTTCAGCTGAATTTGTGGCAGCTGAATGTGTGGTATCATCAGTTTCTTCATGCGAATTATTTTCTTCAGGCAATTCTGCCAAAGAAGGATATGTTTCCGAAAGCTCCTTTGGCAAGACCTTTTCATTGGCCACGGTTTTTGTCAAAGACAGATATGTAGTAACAGGTTTTTCTGGTGAGCACCTTTCATCAGAAGTAGCTTCTGCTAAGCACGAATTTATGCCAACATATTCTTCAAGTGAGACTTTCTCTTGTGAAACAGCTTCTGGCGCAGACAAATTTTTCGAAACAAAAACTTCTGGTGATTTTTTTTTGTCTTGAACAGCTTTGGGAAAAGATGGATGAGCAGCTTCAGGTTCTTCTGCCAGGGTCATATTGTCAGGCACAGATTTCACCAAAGACGGAATTTTGGGAAGAGAGTTTTCAGGCAAGATCTTTTCATGGGGGACAATATCTGCAGAAGACGAATAGTTGGCAACAGACTGTCCTGCCAAGATCTTTTCATGGGGAACGGCTTCTGCAAGAGATGAATAGTTGGCCAAATGTTCTTCTGGCAAAGTCTTTTCAGCAGGAATTGCATCTTTCGGAGACGGGCCTGGGGACATAGGTTTTTCAGATGAGATATTGTCATTAGCACAGTCTCCTGCCAAATAGGAATTTGCGCCAACAGGTTCTTGCAAAACTGGTGCATCCGGAAAGGTTTCTTCAGCCAATAGCGAAGGGCACATGGCCACAAATTCCCTTGGCTTTTCATCAGGAGACAGAGTTTTCCCATACACCGGATTTGTCAGCCAACAGGAAACATTTGCAACTTGAGGAAGGTAGGAACCTGAACAAGATTCGTCTATGGAGCTGTCATGGTGTGGATTTTCTACCATTTGTTCATATGCTATATCGTCTGAACCATCATTTGCATCTTCAGGATGGTACGAATCTGAACAAGATTCGTCTATGGAGTTGTCATGGGGTGGATCTTCTACCATTTTTTCATATGGTATATCTTCTGAACCATCCTTTGCATCTTGAGGAAGGTAGGAACCTGAACAAGGTTCGTCTATGGAGATGTCATGGTGTGGATCTTCTCCCATTTGTTCATATGGTATATCTTCTGAACCTTCATTGTTGTCACTGTTAGCATCTTCTGAACAATAAGTGCTGATATCTCCAAAATAATGCTCCGGTTTCGGTTTAGGCACTCCTTCAACCTCACTCTCTGATTCTGATTCAATGGTATTACGTGCATCCACAAACTCATCTGCTTCACTCCCTTGTTCACTCTTGTTTTCTACTTCGTTCTCAACCCCTGGTTTTACATCAATACTCTTGGCCTGGTTCTTACTTTGTTGTTCTCTCAGAATATCAATCTCGTCGAAAAAATCATAAGTCCTATCAAAGTCCCTTTGATTTTGCCTCACTCTGTCTGGTGTGACTGGACCAAATTTGGACTCATGTATCTCTGACGCATCTTCGTCTTTGTTACTTTCCTCAATTCTCGTTTCAATTGTTTCCTTCTTCTCATCACAAACAATGGAAGCACAAGGCACATGTATGTCTTCTGAGGGGCTATAAAGGATGTTATCATCTACAACTTCAATGCAGCCTTCAGGAACAGCTGAACCTATTCTATCAGCAGGTTGTGAGGAACCAGACAGAAATCCCTCTACTCGCTTCACTTCAGGCTTATTAACAGGACTCTGATTGATGACATACTCAATATAACCTGAACCATTTATAGAATCTCTAGGTTTTGATGACTCTCGGAGATCTGATTGTACTTGTGCTTCACTTCCTTCTTGCGCATCTGACTGCCCTTGCAGATGAGATTGGTCTACAACATCAGATAAGTCCTGCATATTAGAGCTACGTGGCATGTCAACTGTGGATGTACTCTGAGAAGTGGTCTGTTTGTCATCGGTTAGAGAACTGAGACGAGCCCTGCACAAGAAGACAGGTTAACAATTGCAATTGTCAAGAACTACTGAGGCTATATTTCAAAATCACTCACCCATTAGTTTCATCGGACGTAGACACTGCACGTGATCTGCAAATGTTTCTTTGTGGTAACCTCTTTTTCTGTCATTTTAGCAAAAGCACAAATCAGAAACTCTTACAATGGTTAAACAGCATAACCTAAGCACAATAAGGTAATTACAAACCTTTCTTTTGCGGTGAGCCTGATCTCTCTGGCCCTTAGTATCATCTGCTTTATTGGTGTTGCTTATTTCCCTCCTAAAGAATGTTGGATCTGAGTATTTTCTAAGACACGATCCGGGACCACCTACATCAAATCTACAAGCCGGGTAAAACAAAAATCAGCCATTTCAGTTTCCGATACAATGCATGGATTTCTATTAATACTAGGATGAAACTAGAAGCTTGTCCCTTACCTGTCAAGCAGATGCAAAGGAGGAGGATCTCTGCATTGTTCATATGTTTCCATAACACAAAGTGGCAAATCACTCTGAACAAAATGCCTTTGTCCATTCTTTATACGAGGATGCCACTCACAGCCTACAGCAAAAATAAAAAAAAATGAAAGACTTAAGAATTTTTCTGTTATCACACAAAGAGAATATGTGTTTATATAAGCTTTCATCACTCTATACAAGTGAGTTGAAATATAAGACAGCAAGAGTGCAAGACAAACATCTGAGATATATAGACATAGAGAACTTCCATAATAGAAAATCAAAGCATATAGATGAGAGTAGAGCCAAACCTGCAGTGTATGCAAAATGGATGTGGCTCGTCTGTGACAGAACAGCCTTTTCAAGAGGTGAAAGCGCTGACTCAATCCGTTTAACACGGCTTGTCAGTTTCTGGCACCTAGATGCCATAACAGTGACTTCTTCTTGTATCCCATTAAATACTTCTGCGGAAAATCTACACGTAACAAATGCCACCTGGTTAAACAACTCTCTTATCAGTTTACTTTCGCTTTGAGCAGTTCATGTTTCATTCCAGACACAAGGATTAACCAGAAAACAAAAGGATTTTGATCTTTTGGCAAAACCAACAACCAAAACTTCTTTGCTCTTTATACCCATTAAGAAAGTTCAGTATTTTCATCATCACTAATTCAGATGACCACAAACATTAAAGCAATTTCTACTTCATTCCACTGATTAACACTTTCACCACTCAGAGACGATCAGTAAGTTACTAGCTCTACGAACTTGAGCTTTAATTCAAAATTACTGCAAAAAGCCCTAAGCTTTGACGAAAATCAAATACTGAAACTGACGAGCTAATTGGTCATCCTAATCACGAGAAAATATCTTCAAATCCTACAAGAATAGCTGCAGATGTTCGAATTCAATCTTCTTTCTGTCTATCAGGGCAGTGAGCTTAAGGGTTGCTAAGTCGAAAGGAGAAAAAGAGAGAACTTACTCGGCGAGATCGCCTAGCTGACGAAGGATTCCGACGAGTCCAGCAACTTCAACAGCGCCGAGAATCGCCTTGGGTTCCTCATATTCCACGGCGGCGCTACGATTCAGCTCCGGCCCACCCAGGCTTAGCTCGTTCCGTATCTTGAACCTCACCAACGGCATTGTCGCTTTCTCACTCTCTCTCTCTCTCTCACTTTCTCTCTCCCGCAGGAAAATGAAACTGAGTTTAAATAAATTAAAATAAATCAAATCACTTTGACTCTTCTTTCTTTATTTATTTGGAAGCTAATTAAAGTTCTGATGAATCATAATTAGAGAAGGCTAAAGTTTAGATTCTTATGTTCATGTGTGTGTGAGTTTGATTCAGCTTTTCCAGATAATCTTCATTTTTTATTGTTAAACCCCACTTTCGTCCGAATTTCTTTTTCACTAAACAAAAACATCTGTAAATCTGCATTTGGACATATATGGGCATTTGTTGGGCTTACAATTTCAAGGCTTAGTATTTAAGTTTATTACATTATTTGTGTTACAAAACAAATATGATTAAGCCTTGATAAGATCATGTAAAATGTACAATTTCATGTACAATGTCATTTCCCAAGTTTTGAATGATTAAGTAACTAGAGTATATATGAATGTATACTGAAATGACGGCGACAAGGGTTTAGGCGATAAAAAGGGCGATTCCCTTCTTTCTAGGTATTCCTCGAAAACACACAACTAACGGCGCAAGAGATCTCCCATTCTCCCTATCCTCGTTCCCCGTTAACGCTCTCTCCTTTAACACGACGAGGTAATGACATTTCCCTTTGCATTCGAACGTTTTTGTGTCTCGTGTGTGACCTAGATTTCTCTAGCGCTATTGCTACGTTTGTTTCTCAAGTCTAGCTACTGTTAAGGTTTTGTCTCGCCCCTGATTTCTTTTATCGGCTTCACACTGAAAAAGTACCTGCTTCCGACGAATCTAGATCTGTTCATCTGACAAGTTTTTCTAGCTTACTGCTAAGTCCCAGGAATATGAGTAACTTCCAAAACAATCTCCGTCGTGGTTCATCCTCAAACAACACAAGACGCAGACTGAATGTGGAGGCTGAAGAAGAGCTCATCCAGTTCCCTAACTGCAACATGACAGCGGCCAAGGAAAAGTTCAAACGAACTCTGATTGGCAGAATGTTCTATACGGAAGGAAGAAGCATCGATGCGGTGATTGGCCTTTTACCAAAGGTCAATATTTGGGATGTGGAAGGAAGAGCCCAAGGAATCAACCTTGGTAATGGACGCTTCCAGTTTGACTTCGACACCGATGAGGATATGCAAAAGGTGTTGGCTAAGAGGCCGTGGCACTTCAATCGTTGGAGCTTCTCACTCGAACGTTGGGAACCTTTCACCAGCAACCTATTTCCCAACACAATGGTCTTCTGGATCAGAGTCACGGGAGTCCCAGTCCACTTTTGGAATGATGAAACTTTCACTGAGATTGGGAAAGCCTTAGGAAACATCCAAGTGATCGAAGCACACAGAGCAAGGATTCAAGTATCAATCAATGCTGATGCGCCTCTCCAATTTGAGAGAAGAGTTGGTTTTCCAAATGGAGATACTGGAATGGCATCCTTCACATATGAAGGGTTACACCGACATTGTTTTACATGCAAAATGTTGTCACACGAGGAAGTCTCCTGCCCACTGCTCTCACCGGAAGAAAGAGAACAGAAGAAATTACTCAGAGCTGAACAACTGAGGGCCCAAGAGGAAGCCTCATCCGGATACCCACACAACAAACCCCGGAGCGCATTGAACTTGCGAGAAAGATACTTTCCCGATAATGGGTTTCTTCGCCCCTCTCCTCCCAGATCATCTGGTGTTAATAATCCATCCCGTCGTTGGAACGAACCCTCTACCCATCATGAGAAGAGCAGTAGACGCACAGGGATGTATGATGATAGACTGCACTCTAAGCGAGGGGATCTGCGTAATGAGATCCAAAAGAGTAGGGACTACAAAGGAAAAGAGGTCTGGCAACGACTGGGTAAACCTCCACACCGGAATCACAGAGAGAGCCAAAGTCAGAATCGCTTCCATCCCTACCAGCGCGATAGGGATTACCCTCGACGTGACTACGGAGAACATAACTCCCACCAGGCGTGGAGACCACGTGAGGCCACGCGGCGTTCATCTGATCACCGATGGGATACGCCCCTATCCCGCAACTCTGGCCATTACATAGGATCGAAATCTCACACTGCCGAGTCCCAACGTACTTGGACGGAGAAACGAGATAACGGAAAAGCAAAGGCACACAACCTGCTGGGCTTCTTGTTACGTACCCAAATGAAACAGCTGAGGAAAGAATCCGCCGGATAAAAGGTAAAGCCCCGATGGGGGAGAACGACCTCCAGGGATCTAAGCAAGTTGCAACCTCGGCATTTATCCCCCGTAATGGGGCGCTGGAAATCCGGGACCCCGAGAATCTGGTGGCCTCCGGGGAACAGGCATCGAAAGGTGCACCTGAACAACTTAATGAGGACGTCGAAGATGAGGAGATGACAGAGGCGGAGAGAGAGGAGGCTATCTACGACCTAGAGAACCAGGAAATGGATGATGAGATGATGAATAATGACGACCTTTTAGGAGAAGACCTCGAGGACGAACAGGAACAAATCGAAGCGATTTCGCAGCTCTCCCCTCCTAATACCGTCCAGAGCAAGAAATCTGCATGGCCACTTCCCCTCTGGACCCTGGAAAAGAAACAAAAAGAACAGAGCCAGCAAGACCAGGGGACAAAGAAACGAGTGCCAGTTAGCCCCGAATCAAAAGGCCTTCGTGCATCGAGGAAACTACAGGCACTACGGAGTCGTACATCTCCGAAAGGTGGAAAGGGTAATGTCTTGAGATCCTCTATTCGTACTAAACAACTCCCTCGTAATGAGGTGTTTCCTTCTGCTTTAAGCAAGAAATCTTCTAATGCTGCAGGTTCGGTGGTGTCCCAGAAACCACCCAGTAAGAAGATATGAATACAATTGCCTGGAATTGTCAAGGTGCAGGAGCTTATCTGACCAAAATCCATCTTGAAGAGCTGCACCGTTCTTTTAGACCTGCTTTTCTTTTTCTTTCAGAAACAAAAAACTCTTTGTCTTTTATACAAGATTTTCGTACTTCTTTTGGTTATGACAATTTGTTCACCGTGGAACCAGAGGGGTTAAGCGGTGGACTAGCTCTTTATTATTTTGATTCTTGTTCTGTTAACATTTTATTTTCTTCCAACAGCCTTATCGATGTGGAGGCTGTTATTGAGGGAAAGAAAGTCTTTATGACTTTTGTCTATGGAGATCCGGTCCATGAGTGCCAAGGCTTGGTGTGGGATTATCTTACGGATATAAGTGCACATAGGAAAGGAAACTGGCTCATGTCCGGAGATTTTAACGAGATGATTGGAAATCATGAAAAAAGAGGAGGCCGTAGGAGAGCTGAATCATCTTTCCTCCCTTTCCGTAATATGATTGCTAACTGCGGTATGATCGAATTCCCTTACAAGGGAAACCCCCTCTCTTGGGTTGGCTATCGCTCCTCCGGCAAAGTACAATGCAGGCTAGACCGTGCTCTAGGGAATGAAGACTGGCATCAATCCTTTTCCCACACCAATGTGGAGTATTTGAAGCTATGGGGATCAGATCATAGACCTGTCTTAATCAGGATAATCCACCAAAGTAACAAGATCCAACGAAACTTTAAGTTTGACAAAAGATGGCTTGGTAAGGATGGTTTCCAGGAGACGGTGAAGCTGGGATGGGGTACAACGTCTGAAACTAACATAGGAGATGTCCACAATAAAGTTCAGTCATGCCGTCGAGCTATATCAGCATGGAAGAGGACAAATAAGTCTAATTCGGCGAAGAAGATCGAGGCGATAAAAGAACGTTTAGAGAGAGCACAGACAGATGACGATGTCCCCAGTGAGGAAGTTCTCCACTTAAAATGGGAACTATGTGATGCGTACAGGGACGAGGAACTCTTTTGGAAACAAAAGAGTCGAGCCAATTGGCTCAAGGAAGGTGATCGCAACACAAAGTTTTTCCACGCCACGACAAAACAAAGAAGGGCCAGGAATCGAATTACAAAGCTGAAGCGCACGGATGGCTCATGGGCAGAGTGTGAAGAGAGCATTGAAGCGACGGCCACAAACTATTTTCAAAATCTGTTTACCTCTTCCAACCCGGTGGACTTTACTGATGCACTCCGGTATGTTACCGCGAAGGTCACACCACAAATGAATACGGCACTCACGAGAGAGCTATCAAATGATGAAATCCGGAAAGCCATTGCCGAGATCAATCCCGATAAAGCCCCAGGGCCAGACGGGATGACAGGATGCTTCTATCAACGCTTCTGGGAGACAACTGCACAAGATATCATACGCATGATCAAAGACTTCTTTACGTCGAACAGTTTGGATTCACGCCTGAATCAAACCAACATTTGCTTGATCCCCAAGACGGAGAGACCACGTGACATGACGGAGTTTCGGCCAATCAGCCTATGTAATGTAAGCTACAATATAATCTCCAAAATACTGAGCAATCGACTGAAGCGCTGTCTCCCTAAGATAATATCTGAAACACAGTCAGCCTTTGTGGCTAGAAGACTTATCACCGACAATATCCTCATAGCTCAAGAAGCATTCCATGCCTTGCGAACCAATGGGATGTGTAAAGCGAAATTTGTGGCAATCAAGACGGACATGAGCAAGGCATACGATCGGGTTGAATGGGACTTCCTGGACAAAACCTCTGAAGTACTAGCGAAAGTTCGTATCCAAAATTTCTTATAATGAATTTCGACTAGATCATGTAAAATGTACGTTTTTGTGTATCATCCAAAATCACAGTTAGCAATAATATGATAAGTGCATTTAAAGCTTAACAAAACAACTTAACTCTATAATATGAAAATGAAATTTTGTTCCACAGGGGTATTTTTTAAATAGTGCATTGTTTATAACAAAATTATTAAAATACTCAGACTATCAACTGATGAAATTCATTTTAGTAACACTAAACTAAGAAAATATCATATCATCATCTCGAGTTCAAAACCTCCAAAAACCACTTGCAAAGTCCGTTTCCAATTTCTTATTATGAATAATAACCAAATAATCATCTTTTTTTCCATGGAATGGCATATATTCATTTTAATGGTATTTTTACTTTTACCTAAACAAACTAAAACTTCAACTTGAGGATGATTAGTCAGTCACGAGTCACGACTCGGGGCATCAATTTGGAATCATTTTAAAGGAGAAATACAATCTAGACACATATTCGTAATTTTCTTTTTGGAATAAAGACATGCTTGTTAATTAACGGCGAACAAAAGAATACAGTTGTTTCCACAAGATTTCTGTATTAGTACATTATAAAACTTAGGCTGATCTTCTCGAGCAATTTGTCTTTATTCTCATGTTTTTAATTCGAAAACCGTTTAACAACAAACAAACAAAAATTATCATTTGCAAAAATATCATTAATATGATCCCAGGTGAAAAAAACATATGGACCCAAGTCCCACGTGAAATTTTTTATTTTTGTCTTTTTCTTTTTATTTTCTTGTTGTATCGAGTGGATTTCTATTGATGTTGCGTACAAAAGTATATCGAAAGATATATTGCCCCACACAAGATCTTCTCTTACAAAATCTTGTCCAACATTGCTTTTTAGGGTTTTTTAACAACGTCGGACACCGGAATAGAAATCCTGTTCAACAAAATCTTGTCCAACAATCCTGTTCTCCGGGCACCGGAATCTGGTATTTCACCGGCTGCCAGTTTTTATTCCCGACAAAGGGTACTATACATGTGTATCATATAATATATGCTTGTCTTTAATAATTATGTCTTCTTTTTTATTTCATTGTATTCATGCTTTTTATGCTAACACAAAAATATTATTCGATGAACTTGTACCCCCTTGTCCATGAGCAAGCCATATAGTTTTATGCTAACACATAATAAGAGGGCTTTTCTTGTTTTCAACACCACATTTTTGTTATATATACACTAGGTTTGAAGCCCCGCGGAAGCGCGGTTGTTTGCGATAGTTTTCTGTTTAGTTTTATCTATATTGTTGATTTGAATTATGATGGTTTTGTATTAACTTTCATGTTTTTTGTTTATGTTTTGAGTTAACCCAATCACTAACATTAAAAATATGAACAATTTGTCTTTTATTTTATTTTATTAGGATGTTAACACTCCCACTTTATCTCGAGTTTTCTATTTCTAAAATTTTAGCATGTTATAAATATTATGTTTGTTTACTTCTGTTAGACTATAAACATGCATATGCATTTGACTCAACGTTAAAATTTGTAAGCATAATGTAAAATAGCATTTGGACCCGAAATAAGATGAAAAAAATAATATATATACTTTTTTACATATCTACTTTGTTGTGGTAGCATATGAGCCTCATAACCATTGATTATTTTCTATTATGTTAGTTTTGTAAATATTAATTATATTTTGAGACAAACATATCACAATCCTTAAAATTTTCATGTTTTTCACTGCAATTAAATTTACATATAAAAACTCGACTTCTATTTTTTTTAAATAAACTCTAACTCTAATTTCTCATTGGCTTTTTATTATCTTAATTAATTTATATTCAACTTTTTAACTTGTAAACACATTATAACATTTTGAAATAGGATAAATTCTTTTAATAAAAAGGTAAATATATACCATTTCAAGTTACATATATTTTTACTTATATTCAAACTTTTTGATAAATTTTAACATCAAGTTATCACATATTTTATATTAATTAAGTAATTTAGTTGTGTATTTTTCTTAGTTTTATTTATATTTAAAATATAAATATATGCAAAGAAATATGAAAAGTCATGTATTAAATATCTTAAAAACAATTTAATGAATTTTTTGCTGATGTGGACACTTATATGGAGAGAGCAACTCCCTAATTATATACTCCCTCCGTTTCAAATTAGTTGTCATTTTGGCAAAATATATCTGCAAATATTTGGATGTATCTGGACGTGTTTTGCATTGCAGATACATCCAAATAATTGTAGATACATTTTGCCAAAACAACAACTAATTTGAAACGGAGGGAATATAAGATACATCAATTATGCCAACACGTATTAATTGATTTTCTTAACTTAGTTTATTTTAAAATTTCATCTCATGAGCATATTTAATACATGTAATAGTGACAATGAATTCTACCTTAACAATAACAAAGCGATATCAAAAGGATACACCATTTTTTCGGGTCCATTTTACATTCATAGGTAAGATAATGGAAACCAATTGTTTATGCGTCTTCCACTTTCAGGCACAATTATGTTTGATTAATTGCACCATAAGATATGTTATTTAACATTTTACTAATTGTTTGATATTTTTTTCAAAGAACATTTGTGTCACGTTCACGTATATGAAAAGCACTTTTGTATAAATCATCACCATTTGGATTATCTTTGAAATTTTCTGGAGAAAAAGTTAATAGGCTTAATAGTACTCATTCATATATTGTTATTGGCTATTGCTACGAGTCGGATGATGACGGTCATCATCATCCATCAGCATTATTATTGTAATTACTTCTTATTATTATTTTGATATCTATTTCTTATGCATAAAGTTATAGATAGAATAGGCAATATGATTCAACAATAGCCACTAAACTAAGCAAGTTGGAGAAATTACTTAATAATTCATTATTAAAACTAATAATGATTGATTTGGGTTGCTAAGTCGTACAATGGATAGCTTAAACAAATAATTGTTTAAGTAATTTTAAAAGAAGGGTATATCATAACACTATAACAGTGCGTAAATAGCCACATCAGTGCCAAAAAAAGATAATTAACAAACCAAATAAAATAACAAAAGTTCGTATCAAAAGAAAAAAAAATAAGTAAAGGAACGAGAGCACCTTCTCACGGGTCCCATCAATTGAAATATATTCTCTCTTTTTGTTTGATATCATAATAATGTGTGCTAATTTGTATATACAATACAAAGACGATATTTAAATTGTTTTGTGTACGTTGCTAAACAATTTCTTTCTAGGATGATGACAAAGAAAGTCATAGAAAGTAACGTGTGAACATAACATTAACGAATACAATCTCTAAACACAAGTATATGAAAAAAGGATAAAATCTCATCATAGTAGATCTTCTTCAGTTGTCAAACTAGATAGATTGGCCATTAGGATATATAAATATTTGTAGATCTTCTTCAGTTGTCAAACTAGATAGATTGGCCATTAGGATATATAAATATTTGTAAACACTAAAATTTCACACTATCTTATTTTTTTAATTAGTAAGATCTACTGCTCAAAATAACATTTTCGTGCCTTATAAGTTATAACCACACTATATTTCAAAATTAGTTTTTATTTTTGGATCGATAAAAGTTTTATATACATTTACATGAAAATTATCCTCATTAAATTGCATAGTGTGAGAATAATGAACTGATTTATTTTATATTTTCAATTCTTGAGTAGAACTTTAAACAAACGTTATATCTCATCGTTACTGAAAAATGTAAATATTCTGATTCAGTAAGTTAGTGATATCATCATCATGCATGGTTTTCAAATAAAATAAGATAAGTATTTGATAGTATTTGATATTCGCATGAAATGATAAACAGTTATTGTCACTTTACATGTCAAGTAATCATTTTTTAGTAAATACTTCAAAATCTCCTCTACTCGTTTAATTATTTCTCAGTAGCTCTCCTTTTTCCATTACTTTATTGTCGCTTTTAAAATGTCCATTTGCTCATAAACCAACAATATAATACCTAAACAACAACAGCAACAAAATCAGAATTACCCACTAATAATGTCCTCGGATCAATATCACACACCGACGAAAGATCAACCGGATCATCCATCTTCTTCCTCCAACCATCACCACAAGCAATCTTTTCCTCCTCAACCTCAACCGCAACCGCAGCAACCGCTCAGCCGCTACGAGTCACAGAAACGCCGCGACTGGAATACGTTCATCCAATACCTAAAATCGCAGAATCCACCGTTGATGGTGTCTCAGTTCGATTATACGCACGTGCTAAGTTTCCTCAGGTACTTGGATCAGTTTGGTAAAACCAAAGTACATCACCAAGCTTGTGTCTTCTTCGGACAACCAGATCCACCAGGACCGTGCACGTGTCCTCTCAAACAAGCATGGGGAAGCCTAGATGCTTTGATCGGACGGCTGAGAGCTGCTTACGAAGAACACGGTGGCGGGTCACCAGATTCTAACCCGTTTGCAAACGGGTCGATCCGGGTTCACTTGAGGGAAGTTAGAGAATCTCAAGCCAAGGCTCGTGGGATTCCGTACAGGAAGAAGAAGAGGAGGAAGACTAGAAACGACGTCGTCGCAGTCAAGAAGGATGTTGCAAACTCTTCAACTCATAATCAGTCGTCCACTTGATAATTAATCATTTCAAAAATTTCTTATATTGGTAATCAATTTTATTTTTTCTCTTTTCTATATGATATTTTTTTAGTTGGAATTAATTATCCTTTCTAAATAACTAGACCACAAAACTCAAATATTGGATAAATAATAATGATTGGTTCCGTCAATTTTCCTGATTTTCTGTCGTGATTATTAATCCTATTCGTGAGTTGGTATTCACAACACGCATTCGATTAAGGGACAGAACATCTTAAGAGAATGTATTTTTTTGTTTGTCCCAATTATAAATGTATTTTTTAATGACATAGCATTTATGTACGTTGCATGCATCTTGATGTATCTTATCTTATATATAATTAGGGAGTTGCTCTCTCCATATAGAGTGTCCACATCAGCAAAAAATTCATTAAATTGTTTTTAAGATATTTAATACATGACTTTTCATATTTCTTTGCATATATTTATATTTTAAATATAAATAAAACTAAGAAAAATACACAACTAAATTACTTAATTAATATAAAATATGTGATAACTTGATGTTAAAATTTATCAAAAAGTTTGAATATAAGTAAAAATATATGTAACTTGAAATGGTATATATTTACCTTTTTATTAAAAGAATTTATCCTATTTCAAAATGTTATAATGTGTTTACAAGTTAAAAAGTTGAATATAAATTAATTAAGATAATAAAAAGCCAATGAGAAATTAGAGTTAGAGTTTATTTAAAAAAAAATAGAAGTCGAGTTTTTATATGTAAATTTAATTGCAGTGAAAAACATGAAAATTTTAAGGATTGTGATATGTTTGTCTCAAAATATAATTAATATTTACAAAACTAACATAATAGAAAATAATCAATGGTTATGAGGCTCATATGCTACCACAACAAAGTAGATATGTAAAAAAGTATATATATTATTTTTTTCATCTTATTTCGGGTCCAAATGCTATTTTACATTATGCTTACAAATTTTAACGTTGAGTCCAATGCATATGCATGTTTATAGTCTAACAGAAGTAAACAAACATAATATTTATAACATGCTAAAATTTTAGAAATAGAAAACTCGAGATAAAGTGGGAGTGTTAACATCCTAATAAAATAAAATAAAAGACAAATTGTTCATATTTTTAATGTTAGTGATTGGGTTAACTCAAAATATAAACAAAAACATGAAAGTTAATACAAAACCATCATAATTCAAATCAACAAGTATAGATAAAACTAAACAGAAAACTATCGCAAACAACCCCGCGCTTGCGCGGGCTTCAAACCTAGTATATAATAAGAGGCCATCTCTCTCCAGTTGATCGACACGTCAGCACCGGGGAGAGATGGCCACGTGGCAGCTTCTCCGTTTTTCTCTTTTTTTTTTTGATTTGTTTTTTCTTCCCGATTCTTCTTCTTCTTCGTCGATTCCGGACTCTAAATGTTTCGCTGAATGTCGAATCGTTTATTGCTTCTACCTCTTGGACTCCACTTCATCTAATCACTCTCTTTTTCCAATTTCTAAAATTGTTTGCCGTTGCGTCGATCACTCTCCAAGCTTCCACGATCGGTTCTAATTCACGATTTGTTGGCCAAACGAAGCAGGATGACAATGAGGATTCTAGAGATGAGAAGGAGGGTGAAAAAGAGATGAATGAACTGAAATCCAAGGCAAAATCTGGAGAATTTAACGAGCTTCAGACAGAGGAAGAGATTAAGAATGAGAAAAAGCTTGGTCAGAGTCTGAAGAGGATTACGGCGACGAGGTATCGGAAGAGGAAGAAGAGGAGGATATTGCTGTCTATCGAGTGCGTCGAAGCTGTTTAAGAAGAGGATGGACCAAAAATTGTGTGGTATGTTGCTTTCAACTTTATGTAGGAACTAGGAGCTATTGAGAAATAACATTTTTGTCATATTGCAAATTTTCGTGATTGTGATGGTTTCTACGCAGAGAACATAATGAATCTTAAAAAACAAATATGGTCTGAGTCGATAAGTTCTGAGTCGATGATGTATTATTTGCTGTTTCTACCCATCAATCGCATCAAAGCAAGACTCTTTAAAATGAGGACGAACAGTTTCGTATTCCCTGGTGATGATGATGGTGCCTTCGTCTCTTCAAAACAAATCCTTTTGCTTGCATCTATTTGTGCCGGTATTCTCATGTGCAATCTCGCAAGTCTTTTGACCCTTTCTTTGTATATAATCAAAGAACCTGTTCTTTCAGCTTCTACGATGCAAGAATCTGGAATTTGCAACTTTCTGATTCTTCAAGTTTATGTTTTTTTGTTTTCAAAGGTTTTTCACTTGACTGGTTTCATAAGTCCTTTCCTCTTTACTGCTTATGGAAAACTCGATAGCAAAGTTAGGATGGAGTGGAACATCAGGTTTAGTTTTTTTAATCTCTGCATCGAGTTTGATCTTCTTTGCTGGATTATAGATACGTTTTTGAGCAAGAAATGTTTCGTTTTTTCACAGGGGATTCTCAACTTCTCATGCTGTGTTCATTTCTTTGCCGTCAATCTATCTCTTGCTGATATCTGATCAATTTGATGAGAATGTTCATGGCGATTTAGTCATTGATAGTACAACGAAGTTATCAGAACTCAGAAGCTGTAATGGGAGTGAGTTTCCAGGCAATAAAGATCATATCTTCTCTCTTTTCTTTCTTCTCTGCATTTGTTGCTGATGAGATAGTAACTTTTGTTTCTGAACAGACTTCCTTATGCTCTTTTCTAGCAGACTTAGCTATGATCATTTCGCATTTTTCTGCTTTTTGTGGTGTTGAATATGTAAGTGTTGAAGCATCATATAATATTTGCTTTTCTTTGTATGAATTGGTATAATTCATATGAAAATATGTTAAATATGTCAATTCAACTCTTCTTATCACTTTCCGAGTTTATTTATAAAGTTCATTTTATAATAGTACTGTATAACATACATTCTTAAAACCAATGCAATTACTGTTAGAGAATAATTGAGTCTATGATCAAGATATACACCTTTTTTTTGGAACAAAGTTGTTGATGCTTTTGACTTTTGTGACTTTAGTTCTCCTAAATTAACTCAAAATTTAATATAAATAATTAATTAACTGAATAAGTTAGAGTTTCATTTATTTGATATTCAAAGCTATTCATGCAGTTCTACCAAATATATCTCATTTTGGAGTTGCACACGAGTGGGACAAAAAAACAACTTTCGAGAAACTAAACGAAACGTTGGGATGGAGAAGTTTTTTCTGTAATGATCATATATATACTTTTAAAAATATGTTTTATTATTTTTCCTTTATTTTTATTTATACTTTTGAAGTTTTCTAATAGATGATGCGTTGTACTTATTTTAAATGATTTAGATAAAATTCGACAACTATTTGTAAGCTTTGGATTTTGGTTCGGATTTTTAGGTTTTTGGGTTTAGAGATATGGAAACCGTTATTTTTTTTTTAATTTTGGTTCGGTTTGGGTTTTTGGTGTTTTGGCCTTTTGGATTTTCTCGGATTACGGGTTTTTCGGATTTAAAGATATGAAAACCATTCATGTTATTTAAAGTTCAGGTTCTGGTTTGGTCCAGGTTTCCGGTTCAGTTTTATGATTGGGTAAAATAAACCATCATATTTTAAACAAATAAACTATTTTTACAAAAATGAAAAGATAAATTATAAAAAAAAAATTCGAAAACACCACCCGCTCGTAGCGCGGACTTTACCCTAGTATTATTAATATACACTGGTTTAGGTCTCACAAGTTGGTCAATGATAGTATTGATTAAACATTTAGTACATTACTATAGTACTCATATAGTTCTTACATGTATTTGATTAAACATTACTTTTATTTATATAGACACGCGCGCATACCAAGTATGTACATAGATTTGTTCACAAAATACGAGGTTTAGTTATAAGCTAGATTATGCAGTCATCCAGCTCTATATTAGCCTTTAGAACTTAATATATTTGAATCGATTTTTTAGAAACATAAAGTTTGTATGATACTAAATATGTTTTTTCATTGTAAACAAAAAAAACTAGACAAAGTATGACGTTTATAAGTTTATATTAACAAAAAAAATTAAAAATCAACTTACTATTAAATTAGGGAAAAAAATATTACAAAGGAATATGAACCTTTGTTTAGAGAAACATTTGTTCAGGAGTTGTTCTGTATATATTTTTTCTATATTTTGACTATAAACCTTTGTTTAGAGAAACATTTGTTGATTACGATGGAATAATTTCAGCACCATTTGTTTGTAAAAGGGTTTATAGTCTCTTTTAATTTTTTTTAACGTAAGAAAACTGAAAGTATTTGACAGTTTTTAAACAAAAAATAAATAAAAAAAAGAATCAGAAAATGAGAAAAAACCTTATTATCTTTTGATTGAAGAATTAAGCTCTTTATATCCACGTCAATCGCGTTCTATTCTTGGACTCCCAAAGTCCCAACCACTTTCTATTCTTCAACATAGAATACAGATTCGCTCTCTCCCACGAGAGTTGGCTCCTTCTGGAGAATTTTCTTCACAATTCGCTGATTCAGAGATCGTACCGAAGAATTTATGAAGGATTTTTTTTCACATTTCGTTGATTTAGAGATCGTACTGAAGAATTTCTGCAGGATTTCACATTTCGCTGATTCAGAGATCATACCAAAGAATTTCGGAGGATTTTCTTCACATTTCGCTGATTCAGAGATTACGTAGAATTGTGATTTTGATGTGCGCAATTGTTGCTTTAGCAAGCAATCATGTAAAAACCTCTTAGTTTTATTGATGAATTTCTATCATGTAAAAAGTACTGTTTTTGTCCATCATCCAAAATCACTATTAGTATTAATATAAGAACTGCATTTAAATATTAACATAACAACCCAACTCTATAAAGTGTTTTTAAGGGGAAAAATGCATCAATAAAGTGTTATTATATTAATACAATCACTATTAGTATTAATATAAGAACTGCATCATCCAACCCAACCCAACTCTTTTGACTGATTTAAAACAACTCATG